GGTCCAGGGACTCTGTGATGGAGGAGTTGATGACCACATGAGACTACCTGCAGGAGGCCCAACTTGGCTGTGTGCATTATTATTGCTACTCAATCGATATCTATGCTCTCGTAGTCTCGTACCTCACTGCTCATGCTCGCTCGACACCCAGCCTCTATGACCGGGCTCGTTGTATCGCTGTCCCGGTCTTTTGGATCTCTATGCTTCTATAAGAATGACTATATTAACAACAAATAATTTCAGGTTTACCATTTTATATACAGTACACTCAATTTATTGTGCACAAGTTTTTGTCGCTGGGGAAAACATTTGCAGCACTTTTCTTGCGCACACAGGCCATTAAAAATTAGAGGAAACATTGGTTGCAGCCTTAATATGGATTTCTGAATTGGTGAGTCAGAGGGGGAAACACTTAAATAAGCTAGCACACAATTTCCTACCTGGGTTACCCAGTCATTGTGTACCTTCCAGCAAATCCAGTTAACCTGAGTCCCATCGCAGATATTCTCAAGAGAATTACTTGGAATTCCCTCAACTGTGGGACATTTTGACCAGTTCCTGTAAAACAGTTTGTGAGAGAATTGGAAAATGAAAGCATACAATATTGGATAGGATAGAAGGAAACAGTTCATTGTTATTTGTTTAGATCATGTTCTAAGCTGGATCATTTTACAGTTGCTAAATTAAACAAAACTGTTGCTAAATCATTTCATAGGCAGTTAATCTGGTTAATCAGGGTGAAGAAAACACTGAAAGAATGCCGGTATGTTTGTCTGACATTAACATTGAGGAACTCAACAGGTGAAAAGGTGAGGATTGGACTTACAGTAAGTACTGGGGGAGGCAAATGGTATTGATCAGATGCCCTTACAGTATATATAAAATGTAGCATAATGTGTAAATACAAGTAACAGTGGTGGTGGTAAAAAAAAAGAAAAATAAACTTAATGAATTAAATAACAATAAGACAAGCACAAATGTGACGAACAATGCATGTGGTGTGCAACAATTCTTGCAAGAGTATGGACTAAAACAGGGTACTTGTAATGTGGACACAGGGGTGTGATGTAAACACCCTGTTGATATGTATTTCAAGTTTACAGTTAAGATGTGTTATTGTCAAATCACGTTACTAATCTGAGAATAGAAAACAGTAGTGCAATACATTAATGTATTATCTATCTTTTGGCACCTACTTAATCAAAATTCTAACATTTTGATTACCACAAGTGTTTAGTACATCCTATAGTATGGTTTTCCCAATACGCAAACTAAAGAATTGGACTAGATATAGTGAAACGAGAGCCTTTTAGTGGTTCACCACCATTACTTCACCATTACAGGTAATA